GGTAGACATACACCATCCCTTCGGAAAAACATTCTGCCCCCATTGAAGGGTTGAAGAATGAAACAGCGAGTTTCTCCAAAACACTGGTTACAACCTAGGAAACGACATATCTCATGTCCCAGAAGACTTTAACCTTCATAATACAGTGAAAACCTCAATCACACAAGACAAACCGGGATAATAAAAAAATTTAATTTAAGGTTTATGGGCGTTAAACATAAAGGAAACGTCAAGGCAAAGGCTCTATAATTGTGTCTGGATAAGTGACTTCACTATTTGGTTTGACCCTGCCACACATCCCACGCTGTCTCTGTAGCCTGCTAAAAAGTGTCCATTTTTGCTTTTCATAATAATTCTCCTCAATACCTTGTTCTCAAACGCCCTCAGACTATGTTCCTTCCTTCATGTCAGAGACCAAGTTTCACACCCATACAGAACCACAGGCAAATTTATAGTTTTGTATACTTCAATTTTTATGTTTCTGGACAGCAGACGAGAAGAGACTGAATGATAGCAAGCATTACCCGAGTTCAATCGCCTCTTAATTTCCTCCTGAATCAGGTTTCGATCTGTTATCGTCGTTCCCAAATATCTGAACTGTGCCACATTTTCAAAACATCTGTTTCTTATCTTTACGGATAATACAAATAGGAAATAATTATGTTTAACAACAGCGCAAATTGTTTCAGACTATTAAGAATCATGTCGTTGACAACATGATGGCTTCAGAAGCCTTCAAGCCGGACCTTTACTATGACATCCAGACCAGACAGAACATCGTGGACGTTGTGCGGAAGAATGGGAAGCTGAAAGTAAGTTATCACATTATCCTCACATTTTAATTACCACAGGGTAGGCATCGGGGCACGCGGTAGCGTAGTTAGTTGAGGCACTATGCTACTAGCCGGAAGGTCGCGGGTTCGGATCCCGATGAGGTGAATATTTTCAATTGACCTAATCCTTCCAGCCGCACTATGGCCCTGGAGTCGACTCAGCCTCTAACATAAATGAGTACCAGGAAAATTCGTGGGTGTAAACGACGGCCGGCGCGTAAGGCTGACAACCTTACCGCCATCTATGAGCCAATTGTCTAGAGAAAATGTGGGAGCCTCAACGTCTCACATCCCTATGGGCCTTCACGGCCTGTTACAGGGACAGCTTTTACAATAAGCATCAGATTAATTCATTAGTTTACTCAACTGCACTTGTCATTCCAGATTATCAGTAAAGTAAAAGTAAAGCTATCCCTGTAACAGGCCGTGAAGGCCCATAGTTTTGAGACGTTGAGGGTCCCACATTATCTAGACAATCGGCTCAAAGATGGCGGTAAAGTTGTCAGCCTTAAGGGCCGGCAGCACTTTACTTCCCACGAAAATTATTTAATTAATTCCTGGTGCTCATTTCTGTTAGAGGCTGAGTAAACTCCAGGGCCTAGTGCGGCTTAGGATTAGATCAACTGCAAAAATCCAATGACCTCATCGGGACTTGAACCCGCGACCTTCCGGCTTGTAGCATAGCTCCTCAAGCAACTACGCTACCGCGTGCCAGATTATCAGTTTGTTTTATAATTAAAATCAAAGCAACTACCTCCATGGAGCAGAGTCGTTTAGGACTAAAAGTTTATACATTTTTTTTAATTCTGAGACTTTATTATTATGTTCACAAAGGCCCTCCTTTGGACCCAGCCCCGACCCGCTTGAATCAAGTCCCATGCTCTCAAGATTCATTTCAATATTATCCGGCAATTCTCATTTCCGTCTCGCAAGTAATTTCTTCCCCTAACATGTTGTGACTGAAACTTTCTATGCACTTCCATGCGAGCTACACGATTCACTGATCTCACCGTCCCTAACACTGTTTGCTTAAGCATACAAATTGTGAAGTTCCTTGCTATATAACACTCCCCTTCTCCTCGCTCCTTCCTCCTTCTTGGGACCACTTATTCTCCTCGAAAAGTTGACTTTATACATCTTGAACAGGATCTGATAGAAGGAAAGAGACAAATGGGAAGAACAAGGCGCAGGTGGGTGTTTAATATTGAAATGGATCTTAGAGAGATATGATGTGATGATATGGATTGGATTGATCTGGCTCAGGATAGGGACCAGTGGAGGGCTCTTGTGAACACGGTAATGAACCTTCGGGTTCCATAAAATGCTGGGAAATTCTTGAGTAGCTGCAGAATTGGCGGCTCCTCCAGAAGGGCTCAGCTCCGTAAGTGAGTGAACAGGATCTGTTCTATTTTCCAGGTGAATGATGCCACGGTGACCGACTGTGATATCCTCAGCACCAATGGTGTAATACACGTCATCAATAAAGTTCTTCTACCGGACCAGCATACTGAAGGCTGATGCGTCTGGATATCCTCTGTTTCCTGACGCCCATGTGTTGGAAATCATTAAGAAATCAGATATAAGAATTGGTACTGTTACATTCCGTATATTGCAGTTAAAAAACATAACATACATACGGATAAAACTGTTAAATACGTCCTACTTTAAGTCCTTTTTATCACGGCAAAGTCACAAACTTAAGACCAAATAGGATAAATAAAACGTAATTCACAAAGGTCAGTATTGTACCTGACGTTTTTATTTCGTAGAAATTAAAAAAAGAAGGCAATGAAAATGGAATAGACCAAAAGTGGAATGCAATAACCATTTTGTCTTCATATCAGACAACTCATTCGTTATTAAATTTACTTTTATTCTTGTTCATTAAATTGTGTGTAAACTTTCGAATGATGCATAAGTTACGTGCAAATATAATACAGTTGTGCCTGCTAATGAAAGTGACATCTCCCTTGACCTCTTAACGATCAATGCATGGGGGGAAAATTTTTATTTCCACCGAGGTTCAAATTGGTAATCTCAGATATAAATTATACACATAACAACATTATTTGTAAAATTATTATATAGCATTTATGCATACGCCCTACACGTTATGTTTATTGAGCCTCTTGCATTACCGATATTTTATTTTAGGTATTATGATTTGTACGAACTTGCGTTTTCTCGGTTAGACTTAGAACTCAAAATTATGTCATTTATAATGAGAAGAGTAATGTAACTAGAAGTGTATAACTTCAAACTATATGCATTCTTAAAAACTCAAATTTCAGAAACAGGTGTGAAGGGCACACTTCGCCCCAATCCTACTTAAATAATATTTGGGCAATAAAGTATTAATAACAAGCTTCTTTGGGGGTAATTTTACTAGAGTGGGGAACTCCAATTTCGATATAGCTACAATAACTAGTTTTGTGAAAGATTAATTATCAGATTTTCGTCTTAGCTTACTTAAAATGATATTAAGTTATTCATCTGTCGACACGTATAGTAATTTTTTGCTATTACAGATAAGCGTTAGAATGCAAAAGGGTCAAACATTATATTAAAACCTCAGCTATCAACTGCTGTCGTTTCATATTTATAGCCCAACTCTCTTCCTCTGCGAGAAAGAAATAGGATTACGAAATCAGCATTGTCTCTCTCTCTCTCTCTGTCTGTGTGTCTCGCCTTTGAACTTTTGAAACAACGACCGATTTTCAGGCAGTTTAGCAAGAAGATAACACCATTGAAGGCCTTCATGGTGGGTTGGCGACATTAACGACACTTAATTTTTTTTTCCTTGGCCCTACAGCCCCAGTGGGCCTAGGCCTACCTCCATGAACGTCTCCGTTCACTTCGGTTTTTCTTGATCTAAGATATACGGTAGGACTCCTTGGGCGGGTGATCAGCTCGTCGCAAGGCCTCTACCTGTACATTAACACAGAAAAACGCACACACACACACTAACTAAACATTCATGCCCTGAGTGGGATTCGAAACCACGATCCCGGTTTCCAAGCGATCGAAGACAGTACATGCCTTAGACCGCTCGGCTACCGTGACCGGCTCGATACTTAATTGGGGACTTGAAATACTACATGGTAATAGATATGCTAAGGATATTTAGGGGGAATTGAAATTAAAATTGACGTTTTGCGAATTTTTCTTTAGCTTTCTGCTGGATGGCGACATGTAACTACTTACTGGAACCAGGACTGTGAAATTTGGTATTGAGATAAGACAGCGTATCTCCACAGTAGGCATGAAATAATATTCAAAGCCAGTAATTACCAACATAATGACTATACTACGTTTTGAGATTAGATACAAAGATTAACGCAAATAAAATCTTTGCTTAGGTAATAAAATCTTCAAATAAAATAAAATAAAAATACCAATAGTACCAGATCTGTAGAATCTGCATGTAACAAGAAAATAAATTGCATGAGTTTTGCTTGGAACTCCTTACATATATCTGCATATTTCCTATACTAATATTATTAATTTAAAATTAATGACTGTTCATTGCAATAAATAAATACATAAGTATGTTTAGATAACATAAATATTCAGTTATTTTTGCTTCTCGAAGTGACGTCCTCACAAGAACACCGGAAACTACCGCTGTAGTTTCGCAAAGTGTGTTGGTTTGCACATGGCAAAATGGAATTCTAACAGATCTGGTTCTTAAGATCCCCGTTACTTTATGGCGTACAATTATTTCATTTATTGACATAAAGACAGATTTCATACATAATGGAACACATTCCCTTCCTCTCATGTGGTCTGTGGAACACTGAGGAAAATATATCTCTCGTCCGTTTCCAGCAGCTACTGAACGTAAATAAATCATGGCAAAGTTTCATTAGATACGAAAGGCCTTCCTAAAATTACCCAGTTACAATGCCTTTCATCCTTATTTTCCATCGAATTCATTTATCGAACCCGAGCCTTGAGAGGTTTCCACAATAGCAGGGGTCTTCTTCGGTACTGTCACCGCAAAATAATTGTAAATACGAATATATTGAAAGGTTCTGGCCAAGCCAACATTACGTTCAATAAAGCTTTAAGTCACGACCGTTTTTATTTAATGACTGTATTATTATGTAACTGATTGGATACAAGGGAAAGCAACTGAACAAAAACCCTTTTTTATTTTTACAGCTTTTACGTGTGAATTAGGACATTCATTGAATAATAGATTTCTGGTGTTTTAAAACCCCCTATATATGAGTATAAGATTTAGAAAAATAAAAATAATTTTAAACAAGCTTTACAAATTTTAGACAACGTAACCAAACCTTAATCCTATGTAAAATCTTTTACATGGCAAGACACATAATCCAATAATGAACGTGGATTAATTTTATTGTTTATAAACGCCCCGTGATGACATAAACAACAGAAACGTGTAGCAAAAATAATATTAATATACTAACTGATTTTATCGGCAATTTGAATCCGTCAGCTATTTACTAAAAGCATAAATTGTTACGATCAATATAGTAATACATAACTACATGGAGTTCATGTTTTATCCTTTACTGTAATGTTTCATTAATAAACATAAAAAACTTACAGTTAAAATTTTTTCATTGGCTATTTCCGTCGGGTTGGAACCAATTATCATAATTATAACTTCGAATAGTACGGATTCGAATAATACGATCACTTCGTGGGATTCATTATCCGCACTAATCGAGACCTAGCTGCATATATAAACAGCCTCCCCGCGTGGAGGCGGGGTCGAATACCTCCACCGTGACCCTGCGAGTCGCAGGAGGCGACGAAAAGGGAAGTCTCATATCTGAGACAGTAATATATGGTATCGACTGCCAAAGGACTCGAACCGGAGAAAGACTGCGCTGGCAAGGACCTTCAGCATATACAAATGAAGACGCGTCCTCTCGTCAGAGAGGGTGCCCCACAAAAACAAGACCGTAAATCCCAAACAGTAATAAATATCCGGTCATCAGCCCCAGTTGGGGCTCGACATCAAGACTTACTGACTGATTGACCGTCAGTCGCAATGTGACTTTGACTAGGACTTGGACTAACATGTAGGTTCAAGAAATAGTGACGTACCTACAGTTATTTGCATATATATCCTGTGTTGGACATCAAGTTCATTGACACCGCAAAGACTCGAAGAATGAATGTGGTAAACATGGTACGTTTGAGCACCTTAGATGTTTTTTTTATTGCTAGATTGGTGGGACTAAGTCCCTTGTACTGCGGCCACTTCTGGCCTATTGTACCAGCCCCAGATGATAGGTAAGGGTGATTGTGAAGCAATTGGTGGGATGAAGATTGACAGGGGAAACCGAAGTACTCGGAGAAAACCTACCCCAGCTCCAGTTTGTCCACCATAAATCCCACTTGACTAGGCCCAGGATCCAACCCGGGCAGCCGCGGTGGGAAGCCAGCGACTAACCGCTTGAGCTATGGCGCGGCCCTAAACCTTAGATGTTGATATTCGTTTACGTACACAACACCTTGTTTATAAATAGAATCCACGATTTATATAAGAAGACGGATTTCGGTTCAGTACCAACGAGCCCCTCTCAGATTTGCCTGGGACAACATGCAAACTAATGGATCTTTATCTTTCAAAAAGGGTAATTTGACAACTGAAGGGATGAACATTAATATTTTCTCCTCTTCGACCCGAACAAAACGATAGGCACTCTACCGGTATAAACATGAAGCTATTACGTCTCTCCCTTGTGAGATACTGTCATGTGCAATGATGAATTGAATGATTTTAACTCCTCCTTTTGTTCTTTACGATGTCACAGTGTTAGAGTAATGCACGAACTATGTATATTGGACACCTGTGCCCGAAATCGTTACACGAAAACGTCAGAGTTTCGGAACAGAGACATCAGACAGCAGCAGTAGCGGATGCAATGACATGAACATAGTAACAGTAACATCAGTGCCAGAGGCGATAGTAATGCAGGAGACGCTGACAACAATGGCAGAAGTGTATTTTAGTCGTGGCTGTTGTATGTATAACAGTAGTGTTTATAGAAGTATGTTTAAAGAACCAATACCGTTAAAAATATGTTTAACATTTCTGGCGCTGTTCCCTACACCTACGGATGTTATCTCTAACAAAGTGTCACAGTCTGTAGCCTTACGTATTCATTCCTTCGTCGCTATTGCTGAATATAACGACTTTAGAAGGAACAGACCCTATCAGGTTACAGTCAGCCGGGCGCACTGGCATCAAGACACACGTAGCTGCTAAGTGAACGTATAGCAAAAATTACAGAGTACCAGAGATGGAGTAGGATAATAATATATTGATAACGTGTGATAGAAACAAAAGGATATAAGCGACTGAATATGCAAGATCAAACATAAAAGAAATACTAAAATAAGGTTATGTTAAAAATTTTTAAGATCGATAAAACCCCGAAGAGGTCAAAACATCTAGAGCATATTTGAAGATTATGCCCATAAAACGAATTAAACAGACGCTCAGAGCATAGAATTATACACAGTGTGTCCAGGTTTTGTTAGGAATGTGTTCATTAAAAATACATGACGTGAATTATTTTCAAAATTTCATTTTTTTTATTCAAAATAGTCCCCTTCTGAATCAATACATAGCTGGAATCGATTGAAAAGTTTTCGAAAACAGTCACTATACTCCTTTTGTGGAATCGCATTTAAAACTGCGGTACATTCCCTTTGGATGTCCTGGATGATGTCGTGACGGTCTCCTTGCAACGCCAACGTAACTTTCGGAACAACCAGAAATCTGCTGGAGCCAAATCTCGCGAATACGGAGGATGACAAAGGACTGTGATCCCTTTTCTGGCCAAAGAAATCGCCCACGATCTTCGATTTGTGGGGTGGGGCATTGTCGTGGAGGAGCGACCAGGAACCGTGCTCTCGATATTCAGGTCGAATTCGAAGAATTCTCGCCCACAAACGATTGAGGA